AGCCAGATCACCACGGCAACCACTACATCAAGCCGCCCAATCATGATTTTCCGCGGTTTGACGGCGACGCCCCATGCATCTGGCTAGATCGCTGCACCACCTACTTCGAGCTGTACCGGGTGCCACAACACAGCTGGGTCACCACCGCGGCGCTGTACATGGATGGTCTGGCCGCGATGTGGCTCCAGGCCTATCGACAGACGCACCCAGGGGTCTCGTGGCAAGCATTCAGAGCTGCTGTGCAGGAGGAATTTGGTCCAGAAGAGTTCGAGGTTCAGATGCACCACTTTGTTCAGTTACGTCAGACTGGCAGTGTTCAGGAATATCACCAGCAATTTGAGACGGCGATGTACCATTTGCTGGCCCTGGACCCAACTCTGAGCTCCAAATTTTTCATATCTCAGTTCCTGATCGGTCTCAAGGACGAGCTGCGCCTGGGAGTGCGGTTGCAAGCACCAACCAGCATCACTCGCGTTGCGGTGTTTGCTCGCATTCAGGAGGAAGAACTGGAGAAACAACGCACCCCGCGCCCGCGCGTCACACCAGTAGGACGCCCACCACCACTTGCTCCGCCAGCAGCTACTACTCCAGCTCGCGCTGCAGCCGCACCACTACAAGGGGCCGACGAGTATGCACGAGAACGACAACTGAGAGAGTTCCGCAGAGCGAACGGTCTCTGTTTTCGCTGCGGGGATAAATACTCGAGGGAGCATCAGTGCAAACGCACAGGCCAGATTCTGATGATCGAGGTTGGCAACTTCGGAGAGTTCTTGTCTGACGACGCCGTCCACGCTCTGCAATTACTGGATGCACCTGCAGATCAAGAGCCAGAGTGCTGCTCACTCTCGCAACAGGCGCTGTCAGGCGAGGAAACACCCTCCACAATTCGCCTGGGAGCACAGGTGGGCGATCAGATCATGCTTCTGTTGGTGGATTCAGGAAGTACACACAGTTTCATCAGTGAAACATTTCTCGCACGACTGGACGTGCAGACAGAGAAACTACCACCAGTCTCAGTTCGCGTCGCCAACAGGCAGAGACTGCAGTGCAATCAAATGGTGAGAGGTTTGGAATGGCAAGTGCCTGGCCACACCTTCCACACCGATCTCCGCGTGCTGCCACTCAGTGCCTATGATGGAGTTCTGGGAATCGACTGGCTGGCAGCTCACAGCCCCATGAACTGTCACTGGCAGGAGAAAACGATCACGTTTGAAACAGAAGGCAAACAAGTGCACTTACAGGGCGTAAGAACTTCAGATCTACCCCCATCGCCGAACTTGATGCTTACGAATTGCATCGCATGGAGATAGATAACGACATTTGGACCGCAGCATTGGTCACAGTTGAACGGACCGACAAACCTGAACCTGTACCTCCACCTCCCAGAATTCAGAAACTTCTGTCTGAATATGCAGACGTGTTCGCTGAACCTAAGGTGTTGCCTCCCAAACGACAGTATGATCACGCAATCAATATGGAGCTGGGAACAACACCTATCAACACCAGGCCCTACCGCTACTCGCCAGCATAGAAAGGTGAGATCGAAAAGCAGGTTCAGGAGATGCTGCAATCGGGTGTCATTGCCCACAGCCTGAGTCCATATGCTGCACCAGTGTTGTTAGTCAAGAAGAAGGATGGCTCATGGCGCTTCTGCGTGGATTTCAGACGATTAAACACAGCCACTGCCAAGAACAAGTTCCCATTGCCAGTAGTGGATGAGCTGCTCGATGAACTGGGCGGAGCAGCTTACTTCTCCAGGATCGACTTGCGAGCGGGCTACCATCAGATACGCATGCGAGAAGAGGATGAAGAAAAGACGGCTTTCAAAACACACCACGGCCACTACCACTTCAGAGTGATGCCGTTCGGCCTCTGCAATGCGCCGGCAACTTTCCAGTGCCTCATGAACTCAATTTTTGGTCGCCATGTCCGCAAGTTCATCATTATCTTCCTAGATGACATCCTGGTTTTCAGTATCGATTTACAGGAACACGAAGAACATTTGCACACGGTCCTCGTCCTGCTGCGGGCGCACCAGCTCTACGCCAAGGCCTCCAAGTGTTCGTTCGCGCAGCAGGAAATCGAGTACCTCGGGCACGTCATCTCCAAGAACGACGTCGCCACTGATGCCAACAAGACCAGCACCATGAGTGCGTGGCCTGTGCCCACGACGCCCACCGAGCTCTGTGGCTTCCTCAGCCTCACAGGCTACTACCGCAAGTTCGTGCCACACTATGGCATTATTGCGAAGCCTCTGACGCGCCTCCTCACCAAGAAAGGATTTCTCCGGGATGACAAGGCACAAACCGCGTTCGAGCTGCTGAAGAAGGCGATGGTGAGCACGCCCGTGCTGGCGCTTCCTGACTTCAAGCGTCTGTTCGTCATCGAAACTGACGCGTGCGACACCGGCGTTGGCGCCGTACTGATGCAGGACGGCCACCCCGTCGCGTACCTGAGCAAGGCGCTGGGCGTGTGGAATCAGAAGCTCTCGGCGTACGAGAAGGAATTTCTCGCGGTGATGATGGCAATCGACAAGTGGCGCCCATATCTCCAGTGTGCACCATTCGAGATCGTCACCGATCACAAGAGCTTGTGTTCCTTGGGCGATCAGCAGCTCGTCATGGATCTGCAGCGCAAGGCGATGTCCAAGATGGTGGGACTGCAGTTCACGTTCCGCTACAAGAAGGGCACGGACAACGGCGCGGCCGACGCGCTCTCTCGAGTGGGGCACTTACTGGCCCTCAATGCGCTCTCGGTGTGCCAGCCCCAGTGGCTCCAGGAAGTGGCCAATTCGTACGAGACGGATGCGGACGCCCAGGAACTGCTCGCCAAGTTGACCCTCTGCGACACCGACGAACAAGGCCGCACTCTGCAGCAAGGGGTGATCCGCCAGTGCGGGCGGCTCTGGATCGGCGCCAACACCGCGCTCCAAACCAAGCTGATCGCCGCGCTCCACCACAGTGCCGTGGGAGGGCACTCGGGCGCCACCGCCACTTACCAGTGCGTTCGCAAGCTCTTCGGCTAGACGGGGTTGAAGCGCGCGGTCGAGGACTTCGTCAAACAGTGCGGCATATGCCAGCATGCCAAGCACGAGCAAACCCATCCAGCGGGCAAGCTGCAACCACTTCCAATTCCGCAACAACCGTGGCACGACATCACCATGGATTTTGTCGAAGGACTGCCCAAGTCTGACGGCTACGACACGATCATGGTGGCCGTCGATCGCCTCACCAAGTACGCGCACTTCGTCCCTCTCCGGCACCCCTTCACTACGGTCCAAGTCACGCGCGCCTTCTGGGACCATATCATCAAGCTCCATGGCGTGCCGCACACCATCGTCTCCGACCGTGACAAGGTGTTCACCAGCGCAATGTGGCGCGAGATTCTCGCTGCAGCGTGCACCAAGCTGCTGTACTCCACGGCGTACCACCCCCAGACCGACGGCCAGACGGAGCGCGTGAATCAGTGTCTCGAAATGTACCTTCGATGCGTTGTCCACGACACGCCAAAGCAATGGCGACGGTGGCTCTCCGCGGCGGAATTATGGTACAATTCCTCCCACCACGCCTCGCTCAATGGTTCCCCCTTCAAGGCTCTGTACGGGTGGGAACCAAATTTGGGAGGCCTTCCGGGGGCGAGCTTCACCCTGCCCGCCGATGCGCCTGCCGAAGAGATCGACTGGGCGACCCACACCGAGCTGCTTCGCGCCCAGCTGGAGCGTGCGCAAGCTCGTTTCAAGAAGCAGGCCGATCATCATCGCGCCGAGCATGCTTTTGATGTGGGCGAGCAAGTTCTCCTCAAGCTACAGCCATACGCGCAATCCTCCATCGCCAATCGCCCATGCAAGAAACTGGCGTTCAAGTTCTTCGGGCCGTTCACCATTCTGGAACGCATGGGTAACCTGGCGTATCGACTGGAATTGCCCCCGTACAGCCGCATCCATCCGGTCTTCCACGTCTCCCGGCTCAAACCGTCCGTCCCCGACTAAACCCCTGTCTTCTCCGAGCTGCCCAAGGTTCCAGACCTCACCTCCGACTACCGTGCTCCGGTGGCCATCCTGGACCGCCGCATGATGAAGAAGGGGAACGCTCCAGTTGCAGGTGCAAGTTCAATGGAGCTCCATGTCGCCCTCCGCAGCAACTTGGGAAGACTACGCCGTCCTGCGTCAATGCTACCCCGACGCGCAGCTGTGGGAAGAAGAAGAAGCCGCTGCTCGAGCGGGGGCAAATGTCACGCCTGCTGATCGATCAGCAGCAGACTGAAGAGTGCAGGTTCATAGTCTGAACCCGCAACGACATGACCTGGTCAGCGGACCGAGCCGGGCCCAAGGATCAGAAGTAGGCGTGCGTGTGTGGCCAGCTGGCGCTGCTTACTTGTATGCCTGTGTTGGGACGATGAGGGTATCGAAAACAAATTAAATCATACTCCCTCCGTTCTAAAATAGATGACTCAATTTTATACTAACTTTAGTACAAAGTTAGTATAAAGTTGGGTCATCTATTTTGGAACGGAGGGAGTACCTTGCTGTCGACTCCTCCCCTCAGGCTTCCCTCACCTACTCTCGTTCTCCCCCGTCTCACCCCGATCTCCCTTCCTCTCGCTATCAGATCCACTATCGGGGTATGACACGTATTTAAGAATAAAAAAATTCAGCCTCCGTGAAGGCCGAGTTCCAAAACGCCAAACTCATGCAGACGCTCCTTTCATTTCATATATCTAGCTTCTGTGAGCCATCAGTGGCAAAAATGGAAATAAGCAGTGGACGGGTTCCCTGGCGCGAGTTGACTGGAAAGACTTCCTTCTTCCTGGATGCCGCGTGCGTTCCATTCTTTTCCCTCCCGAAAACGCCGCACATCACAACGACAGACCACCCAAAAAAAAGTTGATTTTTTTTCTGGGAGGAGGTGGTCGTCGTCGTCGTCGTCTCCGTCTACCTCCTCCCCGCCTCCGATGCCATTAACCCCACTCCCACGGCCAGCCTCTCGTCGCGAGCCCCCGTGATGCCGTCGTGGTGGAAGCGCTCCAAGACCGCCTTCCACCGCTCCGCCACCACCGCCGCCTCCTCCGCCCCGGCCTCCCCCGCGCGGGCGTCCACCTCGCGCTCACAGCCGCGACGCGCGGGGTCCGAAGACGCCGGGGACCTCCTCCTCGCGCGGCCACAGCGCCAGCCGCGGCAGCTCACGCGACAGCGGAAGCTGCGCCACGTCTACGATATCGACGCGCTGCTCGCCGACCTCGGCATCGACGTCGCGTCCTCCTCCTCGCCGCCGCATGCCAGGGGGCGCGCCTCCGCATCCGATGCCGTCGGGCTCGGTCCCCCGATCTCGAGGTCCTCCAACGCCGCGGACGGGGTGGTAGCTCCGCCTCCGAGGTCCGCGTCGTTCCCCGTGTTGCACCCGCTGCCGTTGCCGTCACCGTCACCGAAGCCCCCCGCAGAGCTGGAGACGACGGACCCGGCGTCGTTGCAAATACCGAGGTAATGTTGATTCATGAATAAATAAAAATCGTTGCAACTTGCGATATCTTATTTTCCCTATCGTCGATTGCTCCGAATTGTGTGCCGTCGTGTGATTGAACGTGCTCGCTGAGCTGAGGAAACGACGGTAGAATTATGATCTTTTATCACGTAAACAATTTGCGATCTGTCGATGGGATTGACATGTGTAGGAAGCTACAAGGATTGCAATGAATTATACTACCTTCTGTTTTTTCAGAGTATTTAACCAAAAACTACCACAATTCGCGGAAACGTGACAGAAAACTACCACTTTACAATTTTGTCCCGGAAACTACCACTTTTTTATTAATCCGTGACAAAAAACTACCAAGTGTGAAAACTGCTCGCTTTGCCTGGGTTAAACGCGAATCTGACTACCCGACCCCACACATAAATGGGCTAAAAATGCAATCGGGTCCCTAGTTTTTTTTTCAAAAAAGCAATCGGGTCCTCCGCCTCCTTCTCCTCCTCGTCGCCGGCCTCCTCCTTCCCCAGCCGTCCGCAGCTTGCTCGCCATCGCTCGCCATCGAACGGGTCCTTCCCCTGCCGCCGTCCCCACCCACAACGACGTTGCGGTAGAGGAAGACGGGGAGCGCGTCGATGAAGGCCTGGGGAAGGAGGCTGGGCATGGGGAAGAAGAGCTATCCTCCTCCCGATCTCGTCCCACTTCTTCTTCTTGGACGGCGGTGCTGTGATCGTCGCCAGCGCCGTTGACGAGGGCGACGAAGAAGATGGCGGCGATGGCGAGGGCGAGGCCGTCGAGCCCAGCCCAGGGGCGCCGACCGAGGGACTTGCTCTTCGCCAGGTCCTGCTCGTAGCGGATGTACTTGACGGCGGCCATGGCAAAGTTGAGCCCCTGGGCGAGCTGGATGCCGCGGACGACGGGGAGCGGCACGAACCAGTAGACGAGCTTCATAAGGCGGGTGACCCCGAGGACGAATACGAACGCCGAGGTGAGGATGCCGGCGGCCATCATCTCGGGGACCCCGAAGGAGGCGTCCGAGAGGGCGACGGCGGCGATGGTCTTCATGGGCTGGACGGGCATGGGGACGCCGTAGAGGAGGCCCGCCGCCCAGTGCCCCTCCACCTTCGCCGCCTGGGTTGGTGGTGCAGGGTTCACCGGAGCAGGAGGGGACGACGCTGGTGGCGCTGGGTTCACTGGTGATGTCGGAGGCGATGTTGGTGGCGTTGGCTGTGCTGGCGACGAGGAGGAGAAGGAGGCGGAGGACCCGATTGCTTTTTTGAAAAAAAACTAGGGACCCGATTGCATTTTTAGCCCGTTTATGTGTGGGGTCGGGCAGTCAGATTCGCGTTTAACCCAGGCAAAGCGAGCAGTTTTCGCACTTGGTAGTTTTTTGTCACGGATTAATAAAAAAGTGGTAGTTTTCGGGACAAAATCGTAAAGTGGTAGTTTTCTGTCACGTTTCCGCGAATTGTGGTAGTTTTTGGTTAAATACTCGTTTTTTCATTACGCCCGTCCAGCCATTGCAATATAGATGAATCTCTTCAGGATTTACATTGAGGTGAAAGATAGGTGGGGTTCCAATCCAACCATCTACAGGCAGAAGTAGCTAATAGTCGAAAGCTTGCTATGATTGTTTGGCCACTGCTTGTCTCTGTATTTATTGTAGGTTACAGAAATGAAGGGACAGGGGTTCAGAAGTCAGAACATTCTCTGAACTAGAATGTTCCTGGTTGGGAGATGGTGTTATTACAGTTCTTATCAATGGTTTATCTCCGTTTGTACACTATGACATCTGACTGAAGAACAAAAATTGTGGGGTAACCAGAATGACTTGGTGGTAGGATCCGCTGCTGTTACTAGCAAATTAGTTGCATTACCAAGTCTCATTTGCTGACCCGGTCCTTTCCCTCTCTACTTTTAATGATATATGTGTACACTCCATATTGTATTTAAGCTTTAAAGAAATCTGTATCTAAACTTGCATTATTCCTTGCATCATTTTCGGGTTCTTACTAATCATGTGGTTACAGGGTGACAGGTCAGACTGTGCAGAAGTTCCCTGAACATAATGATTTCTGCCCAAATGGTACAAAGCGGCCTACCTCTAGTCACCATCGAAAAGCACTCCGTGACAAGTTCCAGGATAAGAGTTCAGCTGAAACAGGGAACTTCCGTTTGAACATTCCAACTAGAAGTGCTCCAACCAGTGGATTTTCCAGTCCTGTAGGCAGCCCTCGAAGATTGAGCAATGCTGACGTCTCATCTACTGTGGCATCTTCTCATGCTCCTCAAGCATGGTCAGCTCCATCGATCCACACTATTGATTTTCTGGGAGCTTTATCTCCTCGGACTTTGCCTGAAAAACTTACAGGGGCTTCAGAGCCATCTCCTTACTCTAGTACATTCAGAAGTCCTATTCTTATGCCAAGGAATACCAGTGCCCCTCCATCGCCACTCCCAAAGTTATTCCCAGAAAACCAAATTTCACGTACTGAAGTCAATGGAAGTGCTAGTTTGCATCCATTACCACTTCCTCCCAGTGCTATAAGCCCAATGCAAACATCTTTCAGCAACCAGCCTGCTCCAAAAGTTGAAATGCCTTCGGTGTCTTGTCAGTGGCAAAAAGGAAAACTTCTAGGTAGTGGTACATTTGGCTGTGTATATGAAGCTACCAATAGGTATGGAAGTGTAATCTCTGTATCATTGTGACTATTACTTCGTTGACTTCTGGATGTTTGTGTACTGACATTTGCTTGTAGGAACACTGGAGCTCTTTGTGCAATGAAAGAGGTCAACATAATTCCTGATGATGCTAAATCTGCCGAGTCGTTGAATCAACTGGAGCAGGTTATCAAATTTGACTTATTATCTGAAGAAAGTGCATGCTGGATTTTGTTGCAAAAACAGGGAATTTGACTCTCTTTTCAATCAGTTCCATTGGTTCTTTGGGAATCTTTCATATGTTATTTTTCCTATTGAATTTCTTATTCTGATAATCAAGTCTTAGCTGCTTCAGTTTATTGTGCTTCTTCCAACAATTAAATATGACAGTAGTATGCCATGTGCTCATTGAAATACTTGTGATCTTCAACACAGACGAACTTAGTATCTAGAATACTCTAGTGTAGCACCTTTCTGAGAATTGATCTTTATCATTACAATGTAGTATTTGCCTTTTATCCTTGATAATGATTTATATGCAAGTTACAAGCTGCCTTTGCTGATCTATATTCATATATTTCAGGAAATAAAGTTCCTAAGTCAATTTAAACATGAAAACATAGTTCAGTATTATGGCAGTGACACTGTAAGTTCCCCACTATGCTGAGCTAAGTATCTCTTGTGCTTCCGTAACGACATCTTATTTCTTGGAGACCCTTGCAGATTGAAGATCGTTTCTACATTTACCTGGAATATGTACATCCGGGTTCGATTAATAAGTATGTCAAACAACATTATGGAGCAATAACAGAATCAGTTATCCGTAACTTCACCCGACATATTCTTAGAGGCCTAGCTTTTCTGCATGGCCAAAAGATTATGCATAGGTGTGTGCTCATACATATACTTGTTTATACGATTTTTTATTGCTAGATCAGCTGTTATGTGAACTCATGGTTTGCCTCTCACCACTGCATGTGATTTTCTGTATCCTTATCCTTCTGCTATTTTAGATTTTCGCACATCAACCATCCACGACTTACCCTTGTCTGTTTATTTTACTGTGTTCTGGCTGAGTTTAGTTACTAGGTGAATGGTTGTGTGAATGTTCATTTACTTTTGTACTTGCTCTAGATGAATTTACATTGGTGGAGGACTCGGATGATTTTTTCATTCTGCCAAGTCTTTATGGTCAACTTCTTGATTATTTTTTGTTGATATGCACTCCTGCGTTTGATATCACTTTGTGGCATGTATGTAAAAGTAAGTGAATTTACTCTTACAGGGATATCAAAGGAGCAAATCTGCTAGTTGATATCAATGGTGTAGTGAAATTGGCCGATTTTGGAATGGCCAAGCATGTGAGTATATCCTTGCATAGCAGTTTTTTCACATGGTACTGTGCTATGTCTATCCATTTTAAATTTTAGAGGCGCATTGGCAAAAATATTAGTTGAATACCAACTGAGGCAACCATCTAAATATTAATCTAAATATGTGTAGCATTATGATAGTGGCTAGTTGTTGGATGTGCTTAAATGTAGTTTGGGTGCATATCTCTCGTCTGCTGCATGTTATTGATCACTACAAACAAATAGAATTGTGTTTGGTAGCATTTTGCGTAGTCCTATTGGTTGATTTATTTTTGGGAAACTGGCAGGAGCACTGCCTTTTCATCTGAACCAATAATTACAGATGTATGGGCTTGTTTTTGAGTCGAACAACTAAAACTAAAGATGCTATTTATTTAATCGTGTTCATTGTTTGCACAATTATTTGGTATATTGTCATCTTTTGTTGTGCTATCGTATCATCCGCAATAACTTTGTTAAGAGAAGGGCCACTCCACAAATTTTTGAAAGCTCACTCTGCTAAATAGTTGGAAACATATCCTAAGTATCCTCTCATTATGCCCTGTTGACACTTCTCTGTTTTACCAGTTAAGTAGTGCAGCCCCAAATCTTTCATTGAAGGGAACACCATACTGGATGGCCCCAGAGGTATGCCTAGATAGTTCTTGCACACAATGTTTTTCTTTAACCTTATATTACTGTCGTGGTTCTTCAAGCTCACGTTACTTCTGGATTGCATGCATACGATTGCCTGCTTGCAGACCTGCAATATGTAATGACATTGCAAAGTAAAAGTACACTATCCAAAGCATGTGCCTGTTACATCTTACATGGGCCGCTACAGCTCCAAACTCGGTTTATGTAACAAAAGAAATGTGAACTGTTCTTAAGTAGATGGAATTAGTTGTCATTTCTTTGCCTGAAAGCAGTTAAAGCAACAACCTTAGCAGTAATTTTTGTTATATCTATCTCGTCACGGGGAAGATGGTTCCCCTAACAAAAGTAGACGACCGATATGTGACCTGAAAGGCTGAAACAACCTCAATAGCACTGCATTTCTCTAGTGCACAATGCAAGTCATTAGGTCCCTTATGGAAATTAAATTACCATGTTACAAACGATACTAATAAAGTATTTTGGTGACTCTTTATTCAGCAGATTCGAGTTAATTAGCATTCTTGAGGCTACACAAATTCAGCTGATTCTGACTGCATTTTGGTTTGTTTCTTCTTCTGCAGATGGTTCAGGCTACACTAGCTAAAGATGTAGGATATGATCTTGCTGTTGATATCTGGAGTCTTGGTTGCACCATCATTGAGATGTTTGATGGAAAACCTCCTTGGAGTGATCTTGAAGGGGTAATAACTTGGAGCGTTTAGCTTTACAGTAAGCTTACTAACATGCATTTCATGACTTTGCATAGTATGCATAAAATCATTTCCATTTGCCAAGGATAAAATTAATCAAAAGGGAAGAGCTTCACCCAACGAAAATATTGGTTTGAAAGTAAAGATTTTTCGCGTTAGTTTCACATACATGGTCATTATGGGTATAACCCTTCTTACATGTTTATGTGGTATAGATGCAGCCATGTGACTGCTCACTGAATTTGCGAAATTGGCATGCAAATAAATGCATGATATTCTCAAAGAAAAGGTCTATGTTACACAAATTGTGAGTTTTGAAAGCTTGAAGCTTTACTTCTCATAGTCTCATTTTGGGGCTGTAACAAGAAAAAATGTGGCTAGGGGGCCTGTGTTTCTGTGGTAGTATAATCTTAATTTTATAGGTGTAGCACCAGATCACATAAATAGTTACAGAAGTTAACAAAAATGATGTTATTAGTTTATCAACGTTATTCTAAGGAACCTTATCTGCACTACAGCCTGCTGCAATGTTTAAGGTTTTGCATAAAGACCCACCAATTCCTGAGAATTTATCCCTAGAGGGAAAAGATTTTCTGCAATGCTGTTTCAAGAGGAATCCAGCAGAGAGGCCGACCGCAAGTGAGTTGTTGGACCATCCATTTATCCGGAATTCAAGTCACTACAGTAAACATGGTTCCATACATGCCTTTGCGGGGATTAAAGTCCATGTACGTCTGTCTCTTCCTGCATGGTATCCCCCCTCTATAAAGATCCTGAGATTGGCGTAAATATAACTGATATCACTGTTGAATGACAGGATAACGGATACGGTTTCAGGGACAAAACATCCTCCAAGAGTGAACCATATGTGAAAGGAAGAAATACTATTGGGTGAGTAGCTTCCTTTTATTTATTGTTCTGTTAGTACCTAATAAACCGTTTCCAGTTTCATTTGCTAGAGATCCTAAGATACTTTAATTCTTTTCATTGCCAGTGAACCAAACAATTCTAGGCCATTCGAATCGTCAGCCTTTCGACTGACGCCACTAACAATCCAGGAAGTCGCACCTAATTTCACCCCTCAACCGTTTGGTTTAGCCTCCAATCCTGGTTCCTTTGCCATCTCAACGAACCCCATGCATTTTCCGATGGCGAACCCTCAGCCTAGCCCACTGCCAAGGCCCAACGGAAAGGAGGTTCTCTTCTAAGCATATAAGGTGCTGCATGCAATGGGTAATGCCACTGATATCTGGGATCTTGTTCAGGTGCGCAGCTCCTTTGCACAATACCAATCAAGAACTGATTAAAGCATAACAGAGAAGGAAGGAAATATAAGAGGGAAATGAAATCTCGCGCAGCTTGAAACTTTATAAGGATAAGCTGCTCGTGGTAATAGTGGAAGGAACACCGTATCCATGCAGATGCCTTCCTGCACCAACACTCATGTGATGGAAAACATCAATATTCTGCAGACGCCGTCTGAACTTCTAGTAATTGAGCAGCAGTTGCACTTGCATGTATGATATCCCACAGTTTATCGGGTTGTTGTATATATAATAGCAAAGATTAGATGTTTTTGTCAGGCTGTCAAGACTCAAAGTATGATGACAACTGAATGCTCCTGAATGGGGGGAGATCCATGAGAGCATGGGTCCCCTTTCTTTCGGGGAAATATTGCCGGCATTTATTGTGTAACATAGAACTAGGATTAGCTGTAGATAAAGCTGAAAGTTCGTCTCTCTCCCTCTCTAGTAGGAATCAGGTGTAGCTATATGTTGCCATGTAACAATATTTTTGTTCTACCATCGATTATTTATTGAGAGATTGTACAGAACAGGTTTTATTTTTTCCTGTTCAGAAGGTTTATCTGAGCTCCTCTAACATTCCTTTCAATTCTATACATTGGCCAAAAATAACCCATGCATGAGTATGGATTGTCTGGAGAATACGATGAAGCAAATTTTACCAACATTGGAACAGAATTGCAGGGTCATCCTTAAAAGCACTATACTCCCTAATTTTAGAAGCCTCACGTTCAATTGAGGCTACTCATTTGGATTTTGGTCTTTCGATTTTGACCATATCATCTCTTGAGTCCTGTGGGGGGAATGGGGCTAAGTGGGCTCCTTTCAAAAGTGCCAAGTGAAATGTGCCATTACTCCATTATCTCAAACTAGATGCACGCTTCAGACCAACAACTTGAAAAGTGATCAATTTAGTCCATAAACAAGTTTATTAGATCATATAGGGTCAAAACGGGACCGCTCACACTTGAATTAATGTGTAGAGTGTTTTTTGAAAATTAGCCAATCACAACCTAGCTAATGGTGTATCAAAGGGCGAACCAACCTCTGGTTGGATGGTTAGAGAGACTGTGGTATCCCCATCATTTATTTTTGGATTTATTTCAAAATTCCCGACGATACGCATTCAGTGGGAGGGGGCGTTCCCATTGACGACGAGGTGGCTACGGTGACTTCGTAAATTTCAAGATAATATGGCGGCTCAGTCTTTCGGAGGTGCTCATAAGAGTAGAGTGTGCGTGTGTGCGTTCATATGGATGAGTGTGTGTGCGTGTATATGAGCGCTTGCGTCTGTACTGTGTTAAAAAATGGTGTATAGAAGGAAAAAAACACATGTCGTGGGACTTAACCTACACCCTTGCGTAAGCAATTGGTGTCGGAGTAAATGACCACGGGTAGCCTAGCCGACTCCCCTTGGCTCTTCAGAAAAATCATAGGCCGATCGAGCCTTCAAACATCTAAGACGTGGGGTCGCCTTCCCCCAGCTGGCTACCTCTCAGGCCGGCTGCACGAAGGCGGCACAGCCCTAAAATCCTCGAGAAGAAAATCACGAGAGGGCCGGCTCCAAGAAGCCGACCACGAGAAGGCCGACTCCAAGAAGCCGGCCCCCCAGCAGGCGGGCGAAATCGTGCCCTTAGAGTTTGCACCCACATAACGGCGATGAGACGGGGCGTGGCTACAGTGAAGCCTGCCGCCGCTGAATCCCGGAGCGCGCATGGCCACAGTGCGTCGTACGGAGCGACCATCACCCGTCCGGCGCGACATTGTTGCCATGTTGACCATGACGTCACCCACGGCGAGCTGTCAGTACGACCCGTGGGTGGCGGGCCCCCTCAGCCAGGGAGACGCCTAAAGGCGGCCAAGCCTCTCCCAGTCGGCCTGGGGTATGGCCGACTCCCAGTAGTCGGCTAGTTCACTTCCTCGAAGGAGGTGCCTCATTAAGGAGATAAGGCGAGGTAAGGCTACAACAATAAGCCGCCCGGCGGCAGCACTGTAGCCATGCTTACCACGACAAAGCCCTCGTCACCATAGGCGAGGCAACAATAACCAGCCTTCGACAAGACCCCCGAGCGGTGGGACCGGCCTGTCGACCAGAAGGCCGACAGCCGGCGGGGCCCACCAGTCGGCGGGCCCATTGGTCGGCGGAGAAGCCGGCCAGCATAGACACAGACGGCTGGGGCCCACGCCCAGCCGGATTATCATTGTACCCCTGGGGGGTAGGCCTATATAAACCCCCCAGGGCACCCATGCAGGGGGATCCTTTTTCCAGTAGTTCTAGACACCACATCGAGAGGAGAATCATGCTAGCCTTGCCCTTCTTCATCCTTTCACCGAACAGCTCAAGGAGCCTCTTGTAGCTATTTGTTGATCTAGTGACCATGCGGAGACCCCGCAGAGCAGCAGTAGAGGTGTTATCTCCACGGAGAGCCCTGAAGCTGGGTAAGATCCACCGGCGTGCATGTCTTCGCCTTATCCCGTTTCCAGGCACCGGCGATGTTTTATTGGCTCCCACAATGATAAGCCACCCGTTGGCATATGTCGCACCAACCACCCGACATTTGGCGCCCACCGTGGGGCCAGGTGCACCGTCATCCGGAGACCTGTTCTGGATGGGAACCCTCTTCCTTCCCAGCGTGCATAGCCAGCCCGGCTCGCCCGATGGCGCTTGCCCCGACGCGCTGCAAGGCGTCGCCGACGCCTGCGTGGCGAGCTGCCTCGCCGATCTTCTTGGCGAGGCTCGCATCTCCGACGAGCCCGCATCCGACGCGGGCACAGGCTGCCCCGAGAGCCACCTCGTCAGCCTCCTCGATCAACTCCACGTCTCCGACGAGCTTGCCGCGGACTTGGAGTCGGTTGGCTCCAACGACCCGATGCTTGTCGACTCTGACACGGCATCGCTTGACGCCTTCCCCTCCAACGTGGTAATCATCAACGACCCACTTCCTCGAGCCGACAACAGCGACAGAGCCATCACCGAGGTACCGGTCATCAGCCACGGCGCCGCCTCTGGTGAAAACGCCCACGACGCCCTGCAGACGGTGCTGCATGACTTGTCTGCCCCCATTCCGGCCGACGCCGATGCCGAGACACTGGAGGCACGCCGCCTCGCTCTCGTTGCGGAGGGCCAGAAGCTAGCTACCATGAGACGCCTCACCGAGGCTCACCAGCGCGAAGTCGACCGTGCTGCCTTCGGCACGCCGCCTCCCGACGGGCCGAGCCGCGTCGGCATCATCAAGAAACGCGGTGCGGCTATCGCCGACGTGCTGGGAGCAGACCGCCCAGTCTATGCCAGGCCACTCGAGAATCTATGCGCCGCCTAGGCGGCCGCAGACGAGCTGAATGGACTGGGGCCCGACGAGCTCCCCTACATGACCAGACGCATCCAGCAGCTTATCGACGCGGCCACAGAGCGGCATGAAGCCGGTGCCCACGCTGAAAGTCCTCCCCCATGCCGAGAGCACGGTGCGACGTCCCGAACGCCGACTGCGGGCAACGCCCGCGCAAGGAAAGAAAAGGAGCCGGCTGCTAGCCGCAGCCGGACTCGAATCTCCATCGAGCGTGACGCAGAAGGCCGCCCTCGAGCTATGGAGTGGCGGGGTGACCCTCCTCCTCCGCCTCGTGGGGAGAGATATCCTACCCCGCCGCCTGTCACGCATCCGACTCTCAGCGGCCGACTGGGCCGCCGCGAAGGAGTCGGCGAGAATGACGTCCGCCACCGGATCGACGGCCTAACGCGATCCCTGGCTCTGGAAGAAGAAGATGATATCGGCCCGCCTTGCTTCGTCCCTCGCATCCGTGACGAGCTCTTCCCCAAAGGGTTCTCGCTCCTAAGAGACACGCCCAAGTACAACGGCTCCGTGAAGCCGGAAGATTGGTTGATTGACTACTCCACTGCGGTTAGCATCGCGAACAGCAATAGGCGTGTTGCCGTGAAGTATGTCCCCCTCATGCTCCAAGGCACGGCGTGCACCTGGCTCAACAGCCTCAAGCCTTACAGCGTCAACAGCTGGCTAGACTTCACAGAAGCCTTCATCCGTAACTTCACCAGCACCTACAAGCGGGCTCTCAAGCCCCGACAGCTCTCCTTGTGTGTACAAGGGCCCAATGAATCAACTCGCGACTACCTCACGCGTTGGGCCGAGCTCCGCAATTCCTTCGAAGGGGTGCACGAGGTTCAAGCTATAGAGTACTTCACCGCCGGGTGCCGAGAAGGCACCCTCCTCAAGCACCGACTCCTCTGCGACGAGCCGACTACCCTCGACGAGCTGCTAGTCATAGCTGATAAATACACCATGGCCGGTTCTTCAATGAAGACCGAGCTCCGAGTAGACGCCTCCGGAAAGGTGCTCGCTCCGAGTCCCAAGACGCCGGCGGGAGACTCCAGCCGACGCCCGTACCATAACGACTGCAAGCGCAAGGCTCCCATGCCGCCTTCCACCAGTCGGCAGGTGGCCACAGTCGAAGACGAACAACCCGAAGGGCGGCCCACGCCCAAGAAGCAGAAAGGCAGCAGGCCGGCTTGGCAGCCGGCTTTCTCCTACGAGCAAGCACTTGATGCCCCCTGCAAGTTCCACAGCGGCGCGAAGCCTTCAAACCACACGACCCGAAAATGCCACTGGCTCACGCGGATCTCCAAGGGTGAGGGGATAACGCCGCCCCCGCCTGCTGGTTAGCCGCCTCTGGCCCCTCCGCAGCCGGCTGCTCGACCAGCAATCGGGGCCGTTCAAGACGAGTTCCCCGACGAACATGCCGCCTATGTCGTCTTTACGAGCCAACTAGAAGATCGGCGTAGGCAGCACCAAGAAGTCAACGCAGTCGCCTCCAACGACCCCGAGTTCATGCACTGGTCTGAAAGGCCTGTCAGCTGGAGCCAGGCTGATCACCCAGAGGTGATGCCGTCTCCC